TTTTATATGCTAGGCAATGGTGCCCCTGGTTATAACCAAACACTAGTCTAGATGTTGCTGTAGAAGTATTTTTAAGATATGATTACCATCTAAAATCAGTAGACTTTAAGTAAAAGAAATTACCCTACATAATGTAGGTGGGCATCATCCAATTAGTTGATGGCCTTAGAGCAGAGAATGAGGTATGTTTCCTGAAGAGGAAGGAATTCTGCCTTAAGATTGAAAAATAGAAACCCTGAGTTTTCAACCTGCCTTAAGAATGTATGATTATGTAAGCCGATTCTCTCTTGTGCTCTCACATATGTGTTCAGGTGTGCATGTGTTGTGTGTGGCTCAGATGGTAAAGAATCTGCCTGCAATCCCTGGGTTGGGAAGATGCCCTGAAGGAGGGTATGGCAACCCACTCCAGTATACTTGCCTGGAAGATCCCCATGGACAGAAGAGCCTGGTGGGCTACAGTCCATGGGATCGCAAAGAGTCAGACATGACTAAGCAACTAAGCGCAGCACACAGCAGTGTCGTGTGTAATAATAAAGAATATATTTGGTGTTTGTCTTGGGTTCCTGGCCCAAAGGTCCAAAAACCCTTGGAATTTCCCGAGTGATAGAAATGCTTTGGCTATGTTAATGAGAAAGAAAAAGGGATTACTTCTCCCTTTATTTTAGGAGCCTAGAATAACCTTGATTCTAAAATCCGATAAAGATAGTACTAGAAAGGAAAATTACAGGTCAATCATTTTCATCATTACAAGTGCAAAAAAATGCAAATGTTTTCTAAGATACCTTTAAAAATACAGATGTAAAAACTCTAAACGACATATCAGCAAACTATTAATACATAAAAAAGATCATGAACAACATCACAAACATGTCATATTTATTCCAGGAATTCACAGGTAGTTTAATATTTTAGACATTAATTGTAATGCAGCACATTAGTAGAGTAAACAAGAAAAGGCATATGAGCATCTCCATAGAGGCAGAAAAAGCCCTGATAAAATTCAATACCCATTCATGCTAAAATTCTTAGCAAACTAGAAATAAAAGGAAGCTTTCTTAATCTAGTGAAGAACATTTACAAAAATCACATAGCAAACAATATACATGAAGGATGAGGTAAGGAAAACCTCCTTTTGTATTAAAAACAAAAAAGAAGGGACTTCCCTGGTGCTCCAGTGATTAAAAATTTGCCTTGCAATTTGGGGGATGAGTTTTAGGCATAAAGGAACCTGTGTACCTGAATAAAAAGTAGGATTGTTGAAAAAAATAGCTTCTTCTTACATAGCTATGTAGTGAGAATTTTTTTTTATGTAGAAGAGCAGCATGGAATAAGTTATACTCCACTTTGTGTTTATTGCTGCATTCTTCTGTTGAGAGAAACTAATGTTTCCCCTCACCAAAAAAGGTAGCCAGGATTGTGTTCTTACCGTCTTGTTTCTCCTAATCCAGAGTAGGGAGCTAGTTTTTGGGTGCTGAAAAGATTGGTTGGAACTTCCAGTGTATGATATAGCTCAATATGTGAGATAACCCTCATATAAAACTAGGCCTGTGGAGGATTTTAAGTTGAATTGTGCCAGAGGTCTAGTGTTTGGTGCTTCTGGAGTTAAGAAGAGATGAGCTGACTCACTGAAACTGGGAAACAACAGGGACACTACAGGTTTGCTGGGCAGTGAGGCCCTCAGCCTGATGCAATTTATTCCTCCTGCTCTTAAGAGCTCAGATATAGTGGACTGGGGGCTTTGGCAAAGGTCTCTGTGATCAAGCTTGGCACACAACTGCAATTTTTGCCTTCAGGTGGCAAAGAAGAAAAGCAACATCTGTTTCCATAGCTAAGGACCTGCCCTCTGCTATTTTGGATAAATTGCACCCACTCCAAGGTTCTCATATGGCACACAGATTGGGGAAGAAAAACAGATACTAGACTTTGTGCCAACCTAGGTGATAGGAAGTTTAAGCTGGATTATATTTGATGTAGACAAAGAAATACATTTGCCATTTTTCATACCTAAAGGTGGGGGGGTTCATATCTGTTAAGTTCAAGTCAATTAAATGTCATGCATCACTTGTTACATGAGAAAAGGTGAACATTTATCTATAACAGATGATATTAAAATGAACTTTGCAATTTTAAGAAAACACGGTGTTGTAAAATGAAATATTATTTATCCCAAATCACTTAAATATTATGAAAAAGTGATGAAACAATTTTTAAATTCTTAAGGTGATTGACAAATTTTGGCAAAGAAGTTTGAAAGTAAAAATGTTTAAGAAATGCTGCTGCAGGCAGTGGGATGCTGAGAAATTTTTGTTAGTTTCTTTTTGTTTGTTTGTTTTTGGCCATGCCAGGAGACATGTGGGATCTTAGCTTCCCAACCAGGGATCAAATGTGTACCCTTGCACTGGAAGTGCACAGTCTTAACCTCCGGACTGCCAGGGAAGTCCCTATCAGTTTCTTGAGTTACTTTTAGTGGAGTGGCACAATCAGCTTTGGGAGGTTTTGTGTGTGCTCTCGTGTTGTTTTGTAGAGCCAGGGTCTATGCTCTTAGGCTGGAAAACATTTGTAGGAGACCACTTACAGACTGAAAACAGTTCAAGAGGAATTGTAGTTAAAACATCAACACTGAATCTGGATTGCCACACTTGAGAAATGTTTTTGAGAAAAAAAATTAAAAGGACTTTGTGGCCAAATACATAGACGGCCACTATCTATCTCCAAGATTTAAAGTCTAGGTTAGTGCCACCCAACGGAATATTCTATGATGATGGAAATCATCCTATCTGAACACTTGAATGTAGGTAGTGCAATTAAGGAACCAAATTTTAAATTTTATTTAATTTTGGTTAATTTAAATTTAAATGGCCACATGTAGCCAACAGACATTAGACTGGATAGCCCAAGTCTAGACTATTAATTTGAGAAGCTTGATTAATATCTCCACATTACATACATTTTCTGTCTCCTGCTACACTTGTAACTTTTGTCGGATGTTTCCTGTCTTGTTTAAAATGCCATCTTTTCAATCATTCAGGGTTAAAACTGAGAAGCCATTCTTTCCTTTCGCAAACCTATGTGGAGTGCTTACTATGTGAAAGGTAGTATACCAGGCATAGAGGATACAAAGATGAATATAGTCCTCGTAGGAAAATGATGATAATGTTTATAGTCAACTGCTCGTATTTAAGGTTCAATCAGGAAAAAAGACTCGGTCTCTTCGCTTTCTTTCTTTGTCCTTATTTTGGTCACATAGTGTGACAGGATCTTAGTTCTTCCACCAGGGCTCAAATTCATGCTCCCTTCAGTGGAAGCTCAGAGTTCTAACCATTGGAATTTCCCCCTTCACTCTTTCTGCCTTGCTTCCTACATCCACATTTTCACCCGAGGCCCTTATCCTTTTACAGCCCAGAGGGCAGATTTTCGTTCCTTCCATTTTGTTCCTTCCATTAACTTCATCCGTGGTTCCCAGAGGAATGCCTTGTACATGGTGTTGGTGGCAGGTGATAAACGCTGGGGGAGTGAATCAAGGTCCTGTTTCCCATCTTGCTACTCTGATTCACTTCCTTTTCTCTCCTCACTACATTTTTAACGTAGCCTCCTATTGGTTTAACCAAGCCAGAGAACTACCGTAGACACTCACTGGGCTGTGCTGTGCTAAGTCACTTCAGTCGTGTCCAACTCTTTGAGACCCCACGGACTGTAACCCACCAGGCTCCCCTGTCCCTAGAATTCTCCAGGCAATTCTATTGGAGCGGGTAGCCATTCCCTTCTCCAGGGGATCTTCCCAACCCAGGGATCGAACCCACGTCTCCCGCATTGCAGGTGGATTCTTTACCAGCTGAGGCACTAGGGAAGCACTCCCTGGAGGTATGTAAGGCCTCACATCCAAAGTATGGTACTTGGGACTTCTCTGGCAGTCCAGTGGTTAGGACTCGGTGCCACGGCACAGGGTTCAATCCATGCTCATGGAACTAAGATTTCTGCCAGGCAACGTGGCCAAAAACCAAAACAAAACAAAACACCAAACAAGTACAAATACAAACAAAAAACCCAACATATGGTGCTCAGTTTAACAGCAGTAGCATCACCTGGGAGCTCCTTAGAATTGCAGACTCTCAATCCCTTCCCCTGACTACTGAATCAGAATCTGCTTTTTAATTAGACTCCCAGGTGATAAGTTTGAGGGAAAAAGCTTAAATTTTTTTAAGTTTAAATTCTGTTTAGATAGCACAGATCTTTAGATGGCACAGATCTAAGCACACTTTCACCTGGCTTTAAAATCTTTAATATCTTTCAATTGCAGACAGAGTAGTATTTATGCCAACTATTCAGTCTGGCATTTGAATCCCTCTACAAGGGGACTTCTAACCTCTTTCCTCTTTCTAACCTCTTTTCCTCTCAGTTTCCCCCAAACCATTCTCTACACTTCTACACTCCATTCAGGTAGGTGTCTTCACCTCTCTTCAAAACACTCCTAACACTCTTCTGCTTCCCTTGCTTTCCCCCAATCAATTCCTTCTGTCCAGAAAGTCATCCATTACCCTCCTCCCCCCATCCTATCCACTTTTAAAATCCTATCCTTCCTCTGAAACACAACTCAAATCCTAAGCTGCCCCCAAAGATATTTTATAGATCTTACAATACTCTTTACCTCTCATCTCTTTAGCAATATTTATACATCTATTAACTCATCCCTTTCTCTTTCCTTGGGCTATATGTATATCTGTCTGACTGTCTCCCCCGCTACACCTTGAAAAGGTGGAGATGGTGTTTTATTCTTCTTCAATGCCCAGTATGCTGCCATATATAATAGGTGCTCAAGGTTTGTTGAAATGAATTGAAAGGAAAAGGACTGAGAGTGACTTATAGGAAGACATCCATAGGCACTATCTCAACTCCCCTCTTTCCACTGTCATTTCCTCCCACAGGCCAAGATTAGGAATTTCTATGTCTCCAGGAGCAGAGGCAAGGAGCAGATAGTTTCAAGAGATTGCGGCATCACATACCTCCGAGCATGTCTTGGCTGCCACATGTTCCCTATTCTGTTTCCCAGAAAGCAGCATCCAAAGCCCCCAGACAAGGGAACCAAATAATAGTAGAAGGCTGACATATGGTGGCAGTGGGATGGTGAGCCCCCAAATCGGAGCCATTACTCAACCCCATGCCCGTATCAGCCAAACAGTTTTATCCTTCAAGGCTGTAACTCCATATGACGTCACAATGGGCATCCCAAGAGTCCAGCCAATGTGCTTGCTGCTTGAGTCTCTTCTCTGAGTCATACATCTGCTGCCCTTTTCTGCAGCTGCCTTTGTGCCCTGCTCTGACAGCCAGTGCTCAAGGAAGCTCCTTTATGATTCTTCTAGAATTGGACTGCACCATTTGTTATAGACCAGACAATATGTGGCAAGGTTTCAAAAGAGCAAGCCTTCCAAATGGCATGCCCTTCCCTGTAAGTGTCTTCTCTGGAGCCAGTTACTCCCTAGAGGTCCAGGTATGGTGCTATATGCTTCAAACCAGATGTTAGAATACAAGGTCAAGCACATTTAAGAAAGCTAGAATACTTTAAGTAGGTACTCTCAGAAAATGTGTGATATATGGTTTCCTAATCCGATGCTTGACACATTTCCTAGTTGTTATTGCATTGAAACAGAGAAAAGATATCACATAGAGAAATTAAATGAACTTAGAAGATCACTCTAAGTCTGTAACATTTTCCAAGTCTATAACTTTCATTTTGTCATCACATCCAGAACTGACTGGATTTTCTAGAGCTAATTCACTGAAAACAAAATTTACAAGGAATCAACCCATGCTATTCAGTTCAGTTCAGTTCAGTTCAGTCGCTCAGTCGTGTCCGACTCTTTGCAACCCCGTGAACTGCAGCACTCCAGGTCTCCCTGTCCATCACCAACTCCTGGTGTTTACCCAAACTCATGTCCATTGAGTCGGTGATGCCATCTAACCATCTCATGCTCTGTCATCCCCTTCTTCTCCTGCTCTCAATCTTTCCCAGCATCAGGGTCTTTTCAAATGAGTCAGATCTTTGCATCAGGTGGCCAAAGTATTGGAGTTTCACCTTCAACATCAGTCCTTCCAATGAACACCCAGCACTGATCTCCTGTAGGATGGACTGGTTGGATCTCCTTGCAGTCCAAGGGACTCTCAAGAGTCTTCTCCAACACCACAGTTCAAAAGCATCGATTCTTCAGTGCTTAGCTTTCTTTATAATACAACTCTCAAATCCATACATGACCCCTGGAAAAACCATAGCCTTGACTAGGTGGACCTTTGTTGACAAAGTAATGTTTCTGCTTTTTAATATGCTGTCTAGGTTGGTCATAACTTTCCTTCCAAAGAGTAAGTGTCTTTTAATTTCATGGCTGCAGTCATCATCTGCAGTGATTTTGGAGCCCAGAAAGATAAAGTCAGCCACTGTTTCCACTGTTTCCCCATCCATTTGCCATGAAGTGAAGGGACCGGATGCCATGATCTTAGTTTTCTGAATGTGGAGTTTAAGCCAACTTTTTCACTCTCCTCTGTCACTTTTATCAAGAGGCTCTTTAGTTCTTCTTGACTTTCTGCTATAAGGGTGGTGTCATCTGCATATCTGAAGTTATTGATATTTCTCCCAGCAGTCTTGATTCCAGCTTGTGCTTCCTCCAGCCCAGTGTTTCTCATGATGTACTCTGCATATAAGTTAAATAAGCAGGGTGACAATATACAACCTTGATGTACTCCTTTTCCTATTTGGAACCAGTTTGCTGTTCCATGTCCAATTTTAATTGTTGCTTCCTGACCTGCATACAGGTTTCTCAAGAGGCAGGTCAGGTGGTCTGGTATTAAGATGACTCCAAGACCTTAGACCTAACTACTCCTTCTCCCATGTGGCCAAGCCACAGTATTTTAGACGAGATGGTAAATTCATTCTTATTTATTTTAAGTAAATCAAACTAGTCCTGCTGTGATTCACTGATATCATGGGGCCTCTGGGAGCTTATTTATTCTGGAAACATCCTCTGTAGTTGGGGAAAATCTAGAGCAGACAAGAACATGACTTGCATTCATTAAGATTAAATTGAATCAAAACTTATAAGTGAAAGAGGAAAGAGGAAAACAATCAAAACCACTTATGACTTTAGATACTTCACTTGAATGAAATCCCATACAGTAATCTAATTTCAACAGTCCATAAATTATCACTATTTTATTAATAATGGAAAGTACTAATAGAAATGAGTACTTAGTAAATGCCTGCTGAAGAAGCTAAAAAATATTCACACATAAATAGTGGTATGATTGAGGCCTAGACAGCATGATGTGTGTGTGACCCTCAGTTGCTAAGTCCAACCCTTTGTGACCCCGTGGACTGTAGCCAGCCGTCTCTTCTGTCCATCCACAGGATTTCCCAGACAAGAATACTGGAGTGGGTTGCCCTTTCCTCCTCCAGGGAATCTTCCCAACCCAGAGATCAAACCTGCTTCTCCTAAACTGCAGGCAGATTCTTTACCAAAGATAGCAGGAAGTATGTGTTAAAAAAAATTTTTTTTAATTTTAAAAGCAATCAAAATGTGTGGTAAGGTGATTCTCTAAATAAAGATACATACTTTAGATGAAAAGTAGTTAAATTCTATGCTGTGTTGAGTGCTTAACTTCCCAGGTGGTGCTAGTGGTAAAGAACCCGTGATTAACCATATATAGACCTTTCTGTATATGGGAGAGAGGGTAAAGTTTTTGTGATTAAAGTTTTAAGATTTCAAGCAAAGTTCAACTAAAGAGAAAAAAAAAATCAGTCATTGTTTCAGACTATTTATTTATATTTTTAGGCGGCTTGTGGGTTCTTAGTTCCCTGACCATGGTTTGAACGCGGGCCCTCAGCAGTGAAAGTGTGGAGTCATAACCACCAGGGAATCCCTGAACAATTTATTGATAATCCCTATTGCTTTCTTCACAGTCAAAGGCTTTGGAATAGTCAATAAAGCAGAAATAGATGGTTTTCTGGAACTCTCTTGCTTTTTCAATGATCCAGAGGATGTTGGCAATTTGATCTCTGGTTCCTCTGCCTTTTCTAAAACCAGCTTGAACATCTGGAAGTTCACAGTTCACGTACTGCTGAAGCCTGGCTTGGGAGAATTTTAAGCATTATTTTACTAGTATGTGAGATGAGTGCAATTGTGTGGTAGTTTGAGCATTCTTTGGGATTGCCTTTCTTTGGGATTAGAATGAAAACTGACCTTTTCCAGTCCTGTGGCCACTGCTGAGTTTTCCAAATTTGCTGACATATTGAGTGCAGCACTTTCACAGCATCATCTTTTAGGATTTGAAATAGCTCAACAGGAATTCCATTACCTCCACTAGCTTTGTTCCTAGTGATGCTTCCTAAGGCCCACTTGACTTCACACTCCAGGATGTCTGGCTCTAGGTGGGTGATCACACCATCATGATTATCTGGGTCATGAAGATCTGTTTTGTGTAGTTCTGTGTATTCTTGCCACCTTGTCTTAATATCTTCTGCTTCTGTTAGGTCCATACCATGTCTGTCCTTTATTGAACCCATCTTTGCATGAAATGTTCCCTTAGTATCTCTAATTTTCTTGAAGAGATCTCCAGTCTTTCCCATTCTATTGTTTTCCTCTATTTCTTTGCATTGATCGCTGAGGAAGACTTTCTTATCTCTCCTTGCTATTCTTTGGAACTCTGCATTGAAATGGGTATACCTTTCCTTTTTTACTTTGCTTTTTGCTTCTCTTCTTTTCACAGCTATTTATAAGGCCTCCTCAGACAGACATTTTACTTTTCTGCATTTCTTTTTCTTGGGGATGGTCTTGATCCCTGTATCCTGTACAATGTCACGAACCTCCATCCAAAGTTCATCAGGCACTCTGTCTATCAGATCTAGTCACTTTAATCTATTTCTCACTTCCACTGTATAATCATAAGGGACTTGATTTAGGTCATACCTGAATGGTCTAGTAGATAACAAAGATAAATAAAACTGGCCAGGGCATTTTTTTTCTTATAGGAAAATTCATTTGGAAAAACAATGCAATAACTGTTGAATAGTAGGCCTTGTCTTAAAAGAAGACAGACATGGTCTCTCACCTCATAGAACTTTCAGTCTATTGAGGCAGCCAAAATAATATTCTTGAAAAGCCCATCAACAAGGACCTGGTTAAGTAAATGTGATATATCCGTATTACGAAATACTCTGCAATCACCATAAAGATTATAAGGAATGAAGCCTGTCATAAGAGCACACATTATGTGACAAGTACTGCATTTCTAAAAAAAAAGATTAGGGGTGGAGGTAGTTTCGGGGTCTTAACACATGTGTATATCTCAACAAGAACTTTTTCTATATAAATATATTTCTATAAAAATATATTTTTGTGTCTTAAATATTCACTCACCATTTTGAGTCATTCATGCTATTTTGTAAAGCTGAGATTCATTCACATTATTATTGCATTGCATTATATAGCTAATATATGTAGCAGTATATAGCTATTCCATAATTTTTTAATCCATTTTAATGTTGATGGAGATTTGGCTTGTTTTCCATTTTGGCCATTATCAACAATGCTATTAAAAACATCCTTGTCCATGTGTCTTGCTGCTGCTGCTGCTGCTAAGTCGCTTCAGTCATGTCCAACTCTGTGCGACCCCACAGACGGCAGCCCACCAGGCTCCCCCACCCCTGGGATTTTCCAGGCAAGAACACTGGAGTGGGTTGCCATTTCCTTCTCCAGTGCATGAAAGTGAAAAGTGAAAGTGAAGTTGCTCAGTCGTGTCCGACTCTTAGGGACCCCATGGACTGCAGCCTACCAGGCTCCTCTGTCCGTGGGATTTTCCAGGCAAGAGTACTGGAGTGGGTTGCCATTGCCTTCTTCGGTCCATGTGTCTTAATGAACATATATTCCTATTTCTCTATGGCAGTGGTTTAACATGTATCAGAGTCATCTGGAGGGCTTGTTAAACCACAGATTGCAGGACACTGATTGCTGATTAAGTTGGACTGGAGCCCAGGAATTTGGCATTTCTAATAAGTTTCCAGGTGATACTGATGATGTTGGTCCAAGAACTATACTTTGAGGATCTCTGATCAAAGTATCGATCTAGTAATGATATTGCTAGGTTATAGTGTAGGTATAACTCAACCTTGAAGACAGTGCCAAACTGTCTTTCCTAAGTGG